CCCACAGAAAATCGCAAGGTTCTGCAAGGGTCAGGGTTCCCTATGCACACCCACACCAAGACAGTTGCCAGGATTTGCCCAACAGGAATTTTCTCCCCTGCCAGGGCCAAGGTCCATTCCAGGCAATCCATCTCCCCTGCAGAAAAATGAAAATTGAAGCCAGATGCCCTTCAGGTCTCCATTTGAGATGGGCATGGCTATAAAGGCACTCGGAAAGACCCTCACTCCCATACCCCTAAGAGTTCTCTGTGGGCTCCATGGAGCCCCAACCCCTCCCACAGACAGTCCCGAGGGTCTCAGGTGGGGGCCTCAAGAAGTCTCCAAGGCAAAGGGTATTGCATGTGCTGAGTCCCAGGAAAGAGGGACTCCTGGGGTTGGGGGTGGGGACCCAGCAGGCCCCAAGGAGAATGTGGGGGAGGCAAGAGCAAAGTCAGCACTTAACCCAGAATGTCCCAAGGGTGTGGGTGGGGAGGGTCCACACCCCAAAACCCTACAATTCCTTCTCACAGCATTGCTGTGGAGTGAGAAGGGGGATTTCGCCCTCATAGGGGGCTCTGTCCACCAAGGCCCCTGACTGCCAGGGAACCCACACCCACAGTTCCCTTCTTTCTGAATGCTGGTCTTTCCACAGCCTGGATTCCTGAGCCTGGGCAGAGGGGTAATGACCCCAGGACTGTCTTCACAAGCAGAGAGGCTACTTGCCACCAGGCTCTGGTTCCTTGGGCTGAGCTCAGCAGCAAGCATGTCACCAAGACCCCCTGGACAGAAGGGGCTCAGCCCTGAGGACCCAGCACTCCCCACACCTGCATGTCCCTGCTGGGCATCCACCCTGGGGACCCAGCTTTCTCCCTGCCCCCAGCTGCTGGCAGCCCCATCTTGACTCATCCAGGGTCCCTGAGGACACACCAGGAAGCAGCCTGCAGCTGGGAGGAGTGGGTGGCCCCTCCCCTCTCAGAGTGGGCAGGGACAGGAGTTGCAGGGGCAGCTTTTTTTGGGATGCCACAGGTCTGTCTGGACTTGCTGCCTGGCCACGCCTCCTTTCCCTTTCATCTTTTTCATTGACCAATGGGCTTGGAGCATGAAGGCCACACCCCTATTCTACATTCTAGTGTGGCCCTGGTTATGCCTTCTCTGGCTTAGACACACAGCCGTCTGGTAGGGGAGTGGAGCTGCTTAGTAGTGCTCCCTTGAATTGTGCTGATGTGACCCCAACCCCTCCTCCCTCCCCAACCCCACCTCCCTCCCCAACCCCACCAACCTCCCCCACCCACTATGGGGATGTTAGAAGAAATTCGCAAGATGAAATTAGCCTCAGCTAGGAAAAAGCTAACATGCAAAGAGATCCCCTCTGGCGGCAAGACTGCTGCCAGAGTCCATAACACTTCTGAGACACACGAGACTGGGTGGGCCCCCAACCCTGGTGTCTCTGGGGTCCCCCTACCAACATCTTCTCAGTCAGCCCCACCCTTTCAGCAAGGAGCCCAGCCTCTACCCTTGCCAATCACCCCAGGGTGACTTTGGATTTGTAACCCCTGAGGCTCCCTGCTTTCTACTTGGGCCACATCTTTTGCTGCCCCATGTCTGACCTCCCTGGGCTCTGTGGACTCATGTCTCTAAGGACATGGGTCTCCCAGACCCTGCCCTCACCAGTCATTTCTGGGTGACTTTGGGCTGGTGACTCCTGGGAATCCCTGCTGCAGACTCTGCCCTCCCCTTCTGCTACCCCAAGCTCGACCTTTCTGTGCTCTTTGGGCTGGCGTCTCCAAGGACCTGGGTCCCAGCCCTGCATCCCCCTCCCCCATCATGAAGCAGTGACTCAGGCATTTCCTTGATGTGGTCCCCTCCCCCAGGAGGAGTGGAATGTAGTGATGTCACAGTCCCCATAGGAACTGTCAGTACTGCTACAAGACCAGACTTTGATCTTAGGACCCAGTCCCCTAAGCATTCTCATCCCATTTCTGGCTCCTCTTGTCCCAGCACAAATTTCCAGCTGGAAGGGGAATGGGGACTATGGGACAAGGAGCAAGGGGTTTCAGGCTGCCTCACTCCCTTAACATAGACATTGACAGTGTGGAAAGCCTACACTTCCCCTGTGAGTTCAAAACATTGACAGTGTCTCTGGGTGGCAATGGGAGAATGGGTTTGGTTTGGTTTTCTCTCAGGCTTCTTCTCTCCAGAGAGACTTTCATGTTTCTTTCTGAGTTCTCCACCTCATCTTCAAATTCTCCATGGTTCTGGGACCAGACTGCCCTTCAGTCAGTGGCCTCTGGAGTGAGATCTGCTCGTCTTCTGTGGAACACATCTTGGGAAATTGAAACTGACAGCTTGAATCTTCCTCATATCATCTCAACCTGGGTTACTTTGAATGCCATGGGATAAACATGGCACATCTTTCTGAAGCATCAGTTTCCCTTGAGTCTCTTGAGACAGCAAAAACTTTATTGTACTTAGGGATGACAGTCACATACATTTCTAAAAGTATTACCAGACTTCTCTCTGAAATGAGACTTGGGTTGTCCTCTTTCTGATGAATTCCCAGATTTAACAGAAAGGCTGCCTTCTGCCATGAGGACACATTGATATAAAAGTGTGAGAGGTGCTGGTGCTCTTCTTAACACTAACAGTCATGTGAGGCTGTGTGACTCTAAACCACATGGCATACAGTTCCTGCCTACTTAATAGTGACTTTTCTACCTCTGCCTGTGGTTTTGGTCTCTGGCAGTTGCTGATTCGTGGCAAAACCCCAGAGCTTGGAGTCAGAGGAATGAGTTTAAGGTCTAGTATTGCTTTTTCTTTTTCTTTTTCTTTTTTTCCTTTTTGTTTTTGCTATGATATCAATCTCTCTCAGTCACTAAGTGATTGTGACAACACCTTATAGAGTTGGCGGCATTAAATCAGATGGTGTGTAACAGTATTTTGTAAAAACTGTAATGTAGGTTGTGACTGTAGGGGTTTGCAGTTCTCATGGGTATTACTGCTCTTTTTCCCACAGTTAAAAGAATTTCAACAAAGAAACAGCCCTGCTGTTTCATCACGAGTGAGAAGAAGGAAGAAAAGAAACAACAATGGCCCTGAGACAGCCTCTTCTGATGGTTGCCAGTCACCATGCCATGTGAGTCTTGGCTGGCCAGGCTTCTAGGAAAAAGGGGCCCAAGGGGCAGTAGAGGGTAATTGTTAAGATTGTGGAAGAACTTCTGGGTACTGGTTAGGAATTCTGGGTTTGAATCCTGCCTCTCCATCTGCTAGGGATACGATTTAGGGCAAGTTGCTTGAGCTTTTTGGGTCTCTCCTTTCGCATCTGTAAAATAGAGGTGGTATTGCCTGACTTCCATTTGTGAAGGTGAAATGAGATTCGTTATTGCTGTTGTTTTTTTGTTAATCCTTAGTACATGGCCCACTGTAAACACCCAGGAAATGGTCCTTGCTGTTTGGTTTTCCTCATCCCCAGTCTCAAGGGGAAGCCAGCCCAATGAGAACAGCCTTTTGCTGTCAGGCTGTCCCTTTAAGAGTCACTGAAAGGGCCCCAGGCTGGGATGGTGGGAGATAAGAACCATGAGAGGAGCTGGTACAGAGAAGTCATGGGACAAAGGGTCTGAGAGGCAGAACAGAAAATGCTGCCAGCTGATGGGGAGGAAAGGAAGTCAGAGGCTTGGACACTAAGGGGACAGAACATCTCCATGTGCACTCTCATCTCTTGTAGTCAGCAGCAGGTGGTCACAAGGGGGGCCCTGAGCCATGTGCCCCCATGAAAGATCCAGAGGTAAGAGGCCCTGAGCTGAGGTACAGTGACCCTGCAGGCCAGCCCTCCAACCTCCTCCCACAGTGGTGGCTGTGTGCCCCTCTGCCAGCTGAGACAGCCCCCACACACCCCAACCTAATTATTTTCTCTCTACCTCTCCCCCGATCCTCCTCCAACTCCTCCTCTCTGCATGTGCCTCAGAGCGCACACCAACTACTAATAGCCCTGGACTTGAGCTCCGTCACAACCAGTGAACTGAGTAACACCATCAACTTAGTGGTAAGAGTCCGGTGGGGTCCTCTGATTGCACGCTGCCAATCCTGGGCTCCAGTTTCCCCTTGGGGCTGCTGTGGGTGAGTTGAAGTGTGCTATGGGGAGCCAGCACTGGATGCAGAGCTCAGAGGTCAAATGTGCTCCCTGCCCTTACCTGGCTGTGGCCTTGGCCAAGTCCTAGGTGAGGGACTGGGTGCTTGGGCTGTGAAAGTACAGAAGAGTGGCTTTAGTATGTTACCATTTGTGTAGAGAGAGGAAAAGTGTGTGTGTGTGTGTGTGTGTGTGTGTGTGTGTGCGTTCATGCGTATACACACTATGATAATATACATAAAACATGTCTGCAAGGATTTGTAAAAAACTCAGGAGAGAGCACAGGTGGCTGGGAGATACTTCCCTTCTGTACCTTCTCAGTTTTGGACTATGAGAATGTATCATTTTTTCAAAAAGTGAACAAAAGATTCATTTCCCCCTTCCTGCCTGTGCTCCCACCCCCAGCAGGAAAAAAAAATGGACTTAGAGGATCAGATGGACCTGGGTGTTCAAATCCCAGCTCTGTCTAAGTGATCATAGGCAACCACCTAACCTCTAATGCTCCATGTTTTCCATCTACACAATAGAGGTAATGGTAGTAACTGCCTCATATGGTGGTTGTGAGGTTAAATGGGATTGTTAGCATGCTACCTGGTTACCCACTCAATCAATGTTCCAATGGCGGTAGTAATAACAAGAATAATAATAGAATATGATCTGATCTCTCTGGGCCTCTGTTAGCCAGCTGTAAATGTGACCTCTTTCCTGTGTCTTCCAATTTTACTGAGTTATTTTAAAATCCAGACCATGGGCCTTGATCTTTACTGACCAAGTTGTGTATTAAGCCCAGCTCTATCCCTTTAAAGGGGCACTGTGTGGAATGGCCCAGGCTCTCCAGATTGAAGCTTCTCCCTCTTCACCATCCAGCCCTCAAGCTGCTGTGAAGCAGTCCTTGAGCAGCAGTTTCTACAGGAGTGGGAACTGCTAAAAGCACAGGTGGCAGAGGTGAGATTTTGCAGAGGGAGGGATGTGGAATGAAGATGACTCCAGGTGGCCAGAAGCAGGTGAGGACCAGTGACAGCCCTTCCTAACTTCTGGGTCCATTCTTGCAGGTGACAGAGTGTCTTAAGAAAGCTCAGCTAGAAAGAGATGCATACGCTCAACAACTCAGAACAGAGAGGGCATGGTGGCAGCAGCAAATGCTGAAAATGGCAGGAGAAGTGAGAGCTGACTCTTCAGCGCCCCCCCCACCTTAGATAGCTCATTGGATCATCCTGGGCATCTGTAAAAAGAATTGTCCATCCAGGGGTGGTCAGGGGACTGGGCTTTATGGAGCTGGGGGCAGAGAGGTAGATGGTAGCCTGGCCAGCCACCGGCCCCTCTCTCCAGGGCCCTTTCCCCCTGTGCTTTGGGCAGATGGAAATATTCAAAATGGAGAAAAGGCAGGATGCAATTAAAATCGAGGAGCTGAAGGGGAGCCTTGCCCACCTACAAAACCATCCGGGTAAGATGAGGCTGGTGTGACCCGGGAGCAGGACTGGCATCAGAGGGCTGTGGGGGTGGCTTAGAGTGCCCCAGGGAGGTGGGAGGCTGGAAGGGCTTTGAGGCAGAGGGAAAGAGGTCTGTGCCAGGAGATGGCAAGTCTTGTAATCTCCATGAGCCTCAGGGTCCCCAATAGCAAAGAGGGAGGGTGCCTGTTGTCAGCCATCCACAGTGCTCTCTATCTGAAAGGGGCTTGGAATACTGGCTACCATTTGGGTGAGAGGAATCATTAGCAGTGAGGCCAGGTTTGGGAAATCTGAGAGGAGATGTGCACCCAGAAGAGTGTTTTTGTTTTGTTTTGTTTTTTGTTTTTTTAATTGAGAATCCAGAGACCCTTATTGTCTGCTTCCTTTCTCAGTTGAACCCCCAATCCTGAAGCCCCCAGCAGGGCCCTCTGACTTGGAGAAGAACGTAGAAACTGAAACCAAGTACCTGAGAGACAAGCTGCGGGAACAGGAGAGACTGCAGGAGGCAAAAATGAGGCTCTGGGAGCAGGAGGTGAGGCTGAGAGAACAGGGGGAGAGGCTTCTTGAGCAGGAGGGGCTCCAGGAGCAGGAGGAGGAGCTGATGTGCTGCCCACCTGGGGGCGCTGCCCTCCTCCCCAGCCCTCCAGGCCTTTGTTTTCCCACCTGTAAAATGGGGGAGGGTATGAAATGGGGCTTCTAAAGGCAGCTGTGAGCCAGAGCCCTGCTCTGATGTCTGTGGGAGAAAGGAGACAATTTCTCTAACCTCCACCCTTCCCGGTGGGGTCAAGTCCTGGGGTCACCAGCTGCAGTGGGTGGCTGCTGATTGCTTCTCTCTGTCTAGCAGAATGAGAACAGGAGCGCACTGCATTTGGAGCAGGGAGGAAAGGAGCTGCAGGAGAAGCTTGATGAACAGGAGACGGTAACCTCCTCCCCACCCAGGAGGGCTGGGAGGCAGGCACTGGCCTCTGGGGAGGGGAGGTGCAAGGCCAAAAGCAGCTCCACCCTGGGGCAGGTGACCCCACATTCTCCAGGGCAGCCCTGCAACTGTTTCTTGCTTCCTGCCTTCTGACTTTTAGAGGTGGGTAGGCCTGGGATCCTCCCAGGTCTGGACATCATCATCTCAGCTCTAGGCATGGAGCCCCCCAGTCATAGGGCAAGAGACAGTGGTGTGAGAGGCTCTTTATGCTGGGTGCATGGCTCACACCTGTAATCCCAGCACTTTGGGAGGCTGAGGCAGGAGAATCACTTAAGATCAGGAGTTTGAGACCAGCCTGGCCAACATGGCGAAACCTCATCTCTACTAAAATTACAGCAACAACCACAACAACAAAGCTGGGCATGGTGGTGCACACCAGTAACCCCAGCTACTCAGAGGGCTGAGGCATGAGCATCACTTGAGCCCGGGAGCTGGAGGTTGCTGTGAGCTGAGTTTGCACCACGACTCTCCAGCCTGGGCCACAGAGTGACACTCTGTCTCAAAACAAAAAAAATCAAAACAAAACAAAACAAAACAAAACAAAACAAAACAAAACAAAACGAAAGTCTCCCTAGATCCAAACTGGATTCCGGCCTTGATTCCACTGGTCACCATTCGACTACTTTGCATCTGTCAGTCTCTGTTTCTTTAACTTCCAAAGGAAGTTAGAATTTTCCTTGCATGGGTGCTGAGGATTAAATGAGATGATGCGTGGAAAGGATTAGGCATGTAGCACACTTGGCAGATGGTGGTCAGCTCCCTCTGCTTTTCCACCAGTCAGTGGCCTACAGTTTAAATGGTGGAAAGAAGGATGTGAGATTAGAGGCTGGGGAAGGAGGCATGGGGTTCTAGACAAGGGAGGCGGTCTCTCAGGCTGGAGCCCGGGGCCGGGTGCCTGGGCAGGCCACCTTCCTCTGTGGTCCCTCCCAGACCCTTTATGCTCTTGGTTTCCCCGCCTTCGGATTCCTCTGGACCCTCACCCCTTCTGGGAGCCGGTGGTCAGACACCATCATGACTGACAGGTGCACTCTCTGAGGCCCCAAGGGAAGGGACTGCACTCCACATCCCTGCCCTGTCTGTCCTGTGTATGCCCCTACAAGAATGCTCCCCTCTTGCCTTCAGGTGCCATTTCTGAACCCTGCTGGAGCCGGTGCCCAGGAGGAGCAGGCACGGCTCTGTGAGCAGCTCCAGAAACAATAGGTGTGTTGCCAGCACCTGGCTCACCTGGAGGCCTCGGCCCTGAGGCAGCAGCCGCGGCCACAGGGACTGGGAGCGAGTGTGGGTGTGGGGAGACCAAGTGGGCCCTGCAGGGCACCATAGACAAGCTGCAGGTGAGTGAGTCCTGGCAGGGGCCAAGAAGGGTGGGGGTGGGGCAGGTCGCCGCCAAGATGTGACCCCATTATTTTGGCTCCAGAGAGACTTCATTGACATTGTGAAGGAGAATGAAGACCTCAAGGAGCACATGGAAAAACTAGAACTCGGACTCATCCATCTCTCTGGAGAGAGAGACATGATAAGTGAGGAAGAGGCCAGGACAGGGCAGGGGGATCTACAGGGTGGTGGGAGGGGCCCCAGCCTCTGAGCCTGTCCTCCCGCAGGAAAGTCCATCAAACCAAATGACCATCAGAGGGCAGTGGCCAAGACCCAGCACCAGAAGAAGAACGATGTTAGCATGCTGTCCCAGGCCGAGGAGGGGATGAAGGTAAGGTGTACAACATCTCTACGGGGGTTAGGGGGATGGGGGTGGGCATGAGCATGGGTGCCGGCACTGGTGTGGCAGCTGAGCACCCCTATCTCCAGGTGAAGCTGCTGGAGCTGCAGGGGCCAGCGATGCAGCTTATGATCGACCACAAGGTCCAGCACCCTGCTAATGAGTCCACTTCAGGGGCCCCAGCCCCCCCAGGAGCTTGGTGCTGCTGACAAGGATGGTGAGCCGAGCCCTCAGGCAGGGTGGGCAGGCAGGAGCAGGGGAGGCTGGCACTGGGCTCAGATCCCCACCTCCCTCTCTCCAAAGAATTTTATGAAATGAGCCTGGACGATGACAGTGACAGCCTGGAGCCTGCAGGAGGGAGGGTACACCACAACCCCACTGCAAAGCAGATGGCTCATGGCTTTGTGAGCTACGGGATGGCCAGCAACACCAACCCTTGGGCAGCAGTCCCTCTATGCTATGCTTTTACCTCGCTGCTGCGAAGGAGGAAGTAAACATCACCATCAGCTAAGAGCTGCCCAAGAAATTTACAAAGGAACAAAGTTGTAGGGTTAATCTTCTACATGTTACTTTATTTGAATGTTAGAGCCACTCATGATGATTTGTGTTTCTAATTTATAGTTTATTTGTAAAAAGTTAAAGGAGAGTGGGTGTTCATGTGGCTTTCACTGATGTTCACTCTGGCATCCTTTAGCATTTTTCGTTTTTAATTTGATAATCATAGGTCATTAGCATGCCTATCGAGCTTGCCCTTACGTGGTGGGAGTTCAAACACACAAAGACCCACTACTGACACAAAACCATTCTCACTAGTTTGGAATAGGCTGCCATGGTTTTTAATGTTATTGCAGCATGTATATTCATTATGGAATTCAGATATAATTTGCTTATGTTCTGCTATGATGTTTGATGGAATCCTGATCACACTGAGCTCTTAATTAGCTCAATGTGTGCTTTGCCCTCACTTGCACACTGTTTATTACTTTGTAAGATGTCACTGTGGGTACTGACATTTAGAGTTGTTGAAAAGCCGAGAACTGGAAACAGCCTTTCTTCCATTTTCTGTGTATTGCAAATGGGAGTAATAACATTTTTGGGAGCTTTTAAAATCTCACAGAAGAGGAAAGTGGCCTGCTCTGACAGGTATGTGCAGAATAGAGTATTTCATTGGTTCCTGTGCCAAGAATGAGCACTGTGCATGGCAGTTCTTTTAGGGTTTTTCTGTGTCCTGGGCTCATGAAGATACTGCACCATGAGCTGCGGCAGCTATACTCTTTTTTGATGACCTAAAAAGGGATGATTTCTGAAGAATAAAAGGCTCCCATCTTTGACAGTGGATGTGGAAAACCTTTCCTAGTTTAGAGCATTTATATCTATAATATGTTGTAAAGTCAGAGTTCATGTTGCCTATTCTAATCACATGACTCCAAGTCTCAGTACATAAAAGAGCACTGCTTAGCATTCTTCTTAATGTATTAGTAAAGATCATAAGAAATCCTTTAAGATAAAGTTATATATATATATATATATAAAGGAATGGAAATTTGTATCTTAGAATGGATACACACTAAATATTAAATAATGAACAGTTAATGTTTTAGGACACTTGGTATAGTGCCTTGCATAAAGAAAGAGACCACGAATGAGATTATCCTTTTGTATCATTTCACGGTTTAAAAAATTGCTATTGATTACAGTTCACATAGCAAGTTACTGATAAAATGTCTGTTTTTATAAAACATCTCCAACAACAACAACAAAGAAATCCTTAAAAGTTTAAATATCCAGAAAATAAAATAAAAATTTTAATAAAAAATTTTAAAATCTTTAAATGTCCCTGGAACAGGCATACAGGTTGTCAAGAATGAACTAGAGTGCAGGAAAGCCATGTGACACCTGGCATCCCTCTGTGTTCATGGAGCTTCTTTGAGACTTCTCTGGCTAATACCTATTCTTCAACCACATTGGTTACTCTGACATAGGAATTGCCATCTTTTTCCTGAATAGAAAGGACTTTAAACAATAATCACAAACAAAAAATAATAATCACAAACATTATTATAAACTAATATATGTGAGAGTGCTTAGCTGAAACAAAAAGGAGTTTCAGTAGACAGAATTGTACTATATTTGAAAATCAAGGAGTTTATGCAACTTAAAATGTTTATAGACTGCATGCCATCTACTGTTTGTGAATGTCAACGTATTATCAGGAAAACCATGTATACAATCACAGTTGTATCTCCTCACCAAGTTCTTTACCAAGAATGAAATATGTTTTTATACCTTTCGGTTTCAGTTAGAGGCATATTTTGTGCAAGATTTATGTTAATGGGCCTCTGCATTATGAATTAATCCTTTCAGTCAGACATTGTCTAAAATCATAACTATCATGCTTGGGAAAAAATCAACAGTTGAAACTTCATGAAGTTCTAATGTCTGTGTGCCAAAACATGTCCCATTGTTAGGATGGAGGCAGATATGTATATGTGCTCCCTGAAGTGGAGATTCCTAGTTACTGACCATCTCCATGTTTAGCATTTTTCACCATAATTTTATAAATATGACATTAATAGGAGAGCACTAATATGATTTTACAGATGGATTAACACATTTGCCTGCATTCCCTGAAAGAGTGCAAATATTGGGTCCTGGTGACTTGAACTGACTCTTCCAAATTGTAGGAATTTATCAATGTATCAGATAAACCCACTTTCAGAATGATGAAGGAAAAACGTTTAGCTTTTTCTTAAATAGATGACAAAATACCTACACAGAGTGACATTTCAGTTAATATAGTAAATGTGTTTTCCAGACTGACATTCAGCTTAAATATGCCTGTATGTGATTTACTCCATAGGTACCTGATGAACACATTATTGTCAGATTGGCTACAGGTGCTAAACACTATCTGAAGGTCATTCCTAGTCATTTACATTTCTTAGGGTAAAAGTGAAGTGATTTGAACTATCAAAAGACCTTTGAAATAATTTATCAGTGTGTTAGATAAACTCCGTTTCAGAATGATCAAGAAAAAACGTTAGCTCAAATAATGTGGCTGATTAACAGAGGTACGATTTCTAGCTCGGGGGTTTCAAATGGACTTAGAGTTCTTTTCTTTTGATTTATTTTTGAGCTTGCCACGTTTGCATTTTGTGAGTTCCGTTTCAAGACCGTTACTTTAAGTCCATTTTCAGCCCTTGGGCTAGAATTCGTACCTCTGTTAATCAGCCACATTATTTGAGCTAACGTTTTTTCTTGATCATTCTGAAACGGAGTTTATCTAACACACTGATAAATTATTTCAAAGGTCTTTTGATAGTTCAAATCACTTCACTTTTACCCTAAGAAATGTAAATGACTAGGAATGACCTTCAGATAGTGTTTAGCACCTGTAGCCAATCTGACAATAATGTGTTCATCAGGTACCTATGGAGTAAATCACATACAGGTGTATTTAAGCTGAATGTCAGTCTGGAAAACACATTTACTATATTAACTGAAATGTCACTCTGTGTAGGTATTTTGTCATCTATTTAAGAAAAAGCTAAAAAGAATGGAAATCATATGACAGTGACTTAATTCTTTCTTCAAAGTGCATGCAAGTCTTTTGCAGTACTTCATTCAGCCAAGTATTTGTTCTCTTCCTCATTCAGTAGAAGGCAGCTTTCAATTTGCTTAGAAGCCAACATTAGAAGGTTAGCATTCATCAAAAACATAGAATTTTATTTTTTTCATATTTGTGTATGTTTATTTTAGATAACTGAAACTTCACAGAATTAAAAGCAAACAAAGTTTAAAAAATTTAGTTCTGTACTTTAGCTCCAACTATCTCTATTTTACAATCTATAAGGCTCATGCCACAGTTCAGCACCAAAGAGATCCACACAAAACTGTTTAAGCAATCTTCTTATTCACCCTGTGCGATAGGTTTTGTTTGTTGTTGTTGTTTTTAAGGTAAATGTCCTACTTTCAGACCTTGAAGTGGAATCCCTCTAGTCAGAGTACAAAACTTGGGTTGTACCTTCTAATTTTCATTGAACAGATGCAAAAAAAAAAAAAAAAAAAAAAAAAAAAAAAAAAAAAGAAAGGAATTGTGTTCCACCGTTGATTTAGGTTGTCAATCTCTTTGTTGAATTTATAACGCTGAAGCGTCAGAAGTAACATAACAATGCACTGCCCCTATTCTTCCCCTCCATTTTAAATTTTTTAAAAGGCAATGAGAAAAATGTTTCATTTATTCTTTAAAATAGGGTGCAAAGAAGGATTAAAACAACAAACTTCCTCATCCACACCTCCAATAACATCTCACTATTTAGCATAATCTACCATAAACTGATTCAGGGGCTCACCTAGAGCTATATTCACAGCTCCTGAATGTACCGTGTTTGCTATACCAGAGGCCTGCTCAATGGCTGCGTCTCTCTGTTCAGAGGTCATTACAAAAATACATAGAATTTTCAAATGTGGGTTCAACTGAATAAATTTGAATTTCTGTA